TTGAAATTAGCCACAAACAAAACTTAATTGAATTGAATCGAACGTTTCTTCTTAAGTTAAATATTCTAACGGTATCTGATCGAGAATTGATGGGTTTGGTTCGATTCTGGGTTCTAAACCAAAAATCAAAAAATTGAATAAAAATCGAATCTCCCTAATTTTTAAATTTTTTTATATTAAATAAGTCAAATTATTTTAATTTTTTTCTAAATAAATTTGTTAGCTAATTAATTGAGCCGAAAACTATCATTTTCCTATTTCATTGCCAACTAATTAATTTAGCTCAAACCAAAATATAATTTTTCTATATCTAATTTTCAACCTTAACCTAAATTAATCAAATTTAAGATGCTATTGAGGGAGATTTACCCATTTTAAATTGATGGAAGATCAATAAATCACAATTTTTGTTTATTAATGGTGTTTTTTCAATTATTTTTTTTAGAGTTTCTTAATGTAACAAGTCAAACAATGAATAATTAATTTAAATGGCTAGTAAGTAATAACAATATTTAAAAATATTTTATTTCTGTAACTTCTAATTTATATTTCATTTTTTATGTAGGCTTGAAGGTTTGAAACAAAGGAATCAACGAGATGAAATCACCAGTATTTTAGTATTATTTTTTGCATTTTAGTAATTTGTATACATTGATGAATAAATATTATTATAGAACTTGTTATTTGTATAATTTTAAATTGGACGACATTATTTTGTAAAAACTAAGATTCAAAATGTCATTAGTTGAATTAATGTACTGTTGTTGTAAATATTAAAAAATTTAATTATGGTACAAAACTTAGGAACCGAACTAAACTAAACAAAATCGAACATGTTTGGTTCCATAATTAAATTTGGACTCGACGGCACCACTTACTAAATTTGGATCCGGTCTGGTTCGGTTCTTTTTAAAACCAAATCGGACCATATACAGCCTACTTGAAACTGCAGCATTTAAATCATTGCTTTACACATCCCCACAAGTTCACCACTTAACATGAATAGTTAAGGTCGAATTTCAAGAAATATTAGAGAAATTACGCCATTAAAGCAAAAAATTTAGGCTCTCACACATTACAATGAATTAGCAACGCCTATATCGTAAAATAAAATTCAGAAAGTAAAAAAAAAAAAACCATTTTTGGCTCGCCCAACGTGGAAACCTGAATACAAGTCTTGAAACTAAATACTCTTATCTTGAGCTCGCTTGTGCGAACCTAGCCCCTTATTAACGAGCATTTCTAAGTTAGTCAAAATTAAGATCATGTGCGAACATATGTCATTGTTAGAGAGCATTTCTAATACGAAATCGTGATGATTATGAGTGAGTGGGCGAGCTCATATAATTAAAAAAGTATGAACACTCCTATTTGTTTCCATGGGCTATTCAATATCAGCAAAGCAGAAAGCACGCATGAATAAGAATGTTAAATTTATTGAAAGTAACACCACAACTAACGAGTGGAGGACACGTGGCTTGGTAAATAAAAAATGAAAAGCTAACATAGTTAAAAATTCACTAATCAATTATTGTCACGTGTCGCTAAGAAAAAATGACTAAATTACCCTCTTTAATTTATCAGATATCTATAAATAGTCATGGACTGCAAACGAATGAGAGAAAAAATTGAATACACCCTCCTTTCAACACAATCAATTCCCCTCAACTCTTGTTTTAAGTAGATTTCATCGAGTTATGGAGTGAAAATTCTAGTTGGGTGAAAAAAATTTGTTAATTTCGATTTTGATGTTAACACTTTACATATCATCATTTATAAGCATAATTACAAATATTTATATATATATATATATATTCATTCTTTAAACTTATTAATTAATGTTTTATATGGACTAGGACCAAAGAGATCCATGCAACGTATAATTAGGAACAAATTGTGCAATTTTCTCTTATTGGTCTCTGAAGGAAACAATATAGTTTGCAAAAGAAATCAGTCTCTGCATTAATAAATCAAGTTATTTGGAAAAGGAACTAAACTTGCATGTAGCAGCTAAGGAAGGAGACCTCTATTTTATGTTCTTCATATAATGTATAAGCTTTAGTTATTTCAAACAAATTTCAGTGCGTTTGATTTGTTATTTTCATTACAAAACGTTCAAAGGTTGTTTAGTCCGATATTTTTTAAAATAAAGTTAAATTTATAGCATAAAACTTAAAACGTATTTTTGACATTTTCAGTGAAACAACAGAAAATATTCAAGATATGGAAAATAAGCATTAAATAATATCTCAAATTCTAGAAAATAAAAAAATTGAAAAAGAAATTCTTAAATTCTAGAAAATAAAAAATAAATAAAACTCTAAAGTTCAAAAAAAATTAAAAATTAAAAACTTTGGAAAATATAAAAATCATGAAAGTAAAAATAGTTCAAACTCATATTAATTATTTAAATAAAAAATTTACAAAAAAATGGTAAAAATTTCTTAATTCACGTCATTAAATTTTAGTTTTATTTTCCATGTTTTGCTAATTTATTTTATTATTTATTTTTATATTACTTTTGTAACAAAAAAAGTATTTTAACACACACACACACATATAATGGAATAAAATGTAATAAAAAAATTTCTCAAATTTTCAAATCAAACTTATTATATTGTTTTCTGTTTTGAGATTTTCAAGATGACAATTCAAAAGTCTTGTCAACAATCTTAAAATCGATCTCAAAATATAAAATTGAAGATGAAATTATAAAACTAAAAATTGAAAACAAAATAAAATAAAACGGGGCATTATTTTTTGGGTTTTGCTAGAGTGATAGGGCCACTGCCCAGTCCAGACGTCCACTGTTTGCCCAGGGCCCATGTGGCCATAGACGAATAGCAAAACCCTTACTTTTTACCAACAAGGCTAGAGTAATAATTAATGTAGATTAGATTTTGATTCACACGGGTCCCAACATATGTGAGTGTAGATCAACAAAAGTATCAAACATTTTCTAGCAAAAAAACTTTATTCTTTAAGATTCGACAACACAATATTGAGTCTGTGAACACAATGAAGATAATAAAAACACAAAAGTCTTAATCAGTCCTTATGCTAGTAGATACAGGAAGCACGCGCAATTTCACCAGCTCTCATACGCTCCAAAGAGTGGCTCCATTACTAGTTTGAAGCTACAACAAATGGTAAGTCATGATGGCACAAGGAGACCAATTGAAGAGTATGCAATAATGTGTCAATTTATTTTAAAAAAATCCCCATTATGCTCATCTTATTGTCTTGCACTTGGAAGGGTTTGACGTTATATTTAGTGTTGAATGGAAGAAGAAATTTGGACCAATTGAAATTGATTTCTACAAGATTATGGTGAATTTTGGCGTGGGAGGATAAATTTACCCTTCTTGGCTGGCGTACGTAGTTTACTTGTGACAACTCTTGAGGACAAGTGTCATTTTTAAGGATGGTTGAGTTGTTACGATAAAATTGCTATTTGATGACTAAATCATTTATGGTTGGAAACTTGGAATAACGAACAAGTCTTGGGTTATCTTATTTTTTGGAGGCATTATCCATTTACATTGTTTAATATTTATCTTATTCCTCGTTTTATGCTTCTAAGGATAGAATTAGTTGTTCTTTTCCTATATATTTTCATTGTGACGTTTGAGTGTAACAAAAATGGGTTCAAATCTTTTGTTTCGTTTGGCACTACAAGTAAAATGACAAAGTAATTCGAACATATTTTGTGTAAACGTAAAAAAGATAGCGGGCCACATTAGATCAATTCTTTTTAGTTGATGCAAAGATGAAATATCAAATACAAATAATTAACTTGTAATTAGTAAGTATAAGTCACTGCAAATGTTCCCCAACCTTAAAAATGAATGTTGCTAATTTTCGAAAGGTTCTTTTTTTGTGTAAAGCCAATCCGGATTGGATGATAGTTTTTATAACCACATCAAGCCTTCACTTCTTGGGGGTTAGAATGCTAATTTTCAAAAAGTGGAGGACTAAGTTGTTCAAAAGTAAAGGTTAGAGATGAAAGTACAACTGACTCTAAAGTTGAGAACATTTACTATAATTTAGCTATTTTATTAAAAATTATGTTGTGAAAGAACTGATGCATCAAAAAGTTGTAAAAACTTCAGAAAAAATTGCTCAACAAAGATTTACCAGACAATTTTGATATCGATCTACAACATAACGAGACCAAGCATATTTGCAACTATTTATTTCCCTTAATTAATTTCCTGTAATATCTCCCATTTATTTCTATGTTCGTAACATTTCGCGCTGACACAAATAATTCATACTTTTAAACCTTTTATTTCCGATCAATTGCAACTAAGTGATAAATATTGTGAGCTTGAATCAAGTAAATTTCAATAATATTTCTATATCCATCGTGTCACATAACCTAAATGTACGTGTTGGAGTGAGGTGAACGTAACATGGAGTATGTATGCATAAAATAAATTTATACATGTTTACACAAATTTAAATAATGGCAGTGGCGGACCCACATGGGGTCATGTGGGGGTCAAATGACCCCACAATTTTTATTTATTTATTATTATTAATTTTTTTTTTAGTTTTCCTCTTTGAGTTTTTTTTTTGTTTTACCTAAACATTTTGAATTCTCATTTTTGACCCCACAAGAAAAATGGTCTCGGTCCACCCCTGAATAATGGTGATGTGAAAGAAGGGAGGGGGGGGGGGGGGGGGGGGCTTAAAAACTCATATATAGTCACCAAAATTTTGCCTTGGTTCAATTTGGTCACATAATTTATTTTGTTCCTAAATTGTCTTCCATTTGTCTCCTTCTGTAATTTTGAGATAAGAAACAAAGTTAGATAACCATTTCGGAATAAAATTAAAGTCGAGTCATTAATTTAAAACACGATTATAAATTTAGTAACCATTTAGGGTTTTCATCCAGAGCTTAACAGAAACCAGAGTTATTATAAGGCCAACCTTGTCAACCCAATAGAGAAAGACGTATATAGCCGATCGCTACAAGCAGACGAGTAAAGAACATGGAGACACTCTCAATCAACAACGTTGACAGAATTTCACAGTTACCAGATTCACTTTGTCACCATGTCTTGTCGTTTCTCTCCGCTGCAGATGCTGGAATGACTGTTTTTCTTTCGAGGAGATGGAGATTCTTATGGTATTCGAGCCCGGTATACAATTTTGATGAGAAATACTTTGTCAATACGATAAGTTATTCGAGCCCGGCGAATTTTTTGATGTTCTTGGAACGGACATTAGCACACCGCCAATGGTATTTCAATCATTTAGGCATCGAAAAATTTAGGATATACATGAGAATGTTTTATGAATTAAATCCTTTGGCCTTGAACTGGGTAGTGTTTGCTTTGAATTGTAACGTGAAAGAATTAGTTATTATTAATGAAGGAATAGACTGTCCCACAATTCCTTCTACATTGTCTGATGCTATCTTCGTTGCAAAATATATTACAAAACTGGAAATTAGCCACCTTTATTTGGAGGAAATTTCAGTTTCTGTGAATCTGCCTTCTCTTCAAGAACTGGTATTACGAGGCACGTTGATAAGTGATTCAACATTGCAAAAGATCATTTTTGGCTGTTCTATAGTTAGAAAAATATGTCTTGAATTATTGCATGGAGGGGAGAAAATTATGATTTCCAAGGAGACACTCGTCGAATTGAATGTTTTTCGGTGCCTTCATGTGGAGTTTTACATCGAATATGCACCAAATCTTAAGTTATTTGCCTACGAGGGAGGAAGAATAGAACGAAATAAAATTGGGATTTCAGCATTGGGAAATTTGAGATCATTGAGTCTAATAGAAGCCCGTGTGATGGATTCTGTGCTGGAAGATCTTGTTCTTGAATATCCACTCCTAGAAGAATTAGTAATAGGATATTGTTCCACCGTTAAGAAGTTGCTCATTTCTTCCCCAAAACTCGAGAGTTTTGTTTTGTTTGGGTGTGAATTATTGGTTGAGGTGAAAATAGACGCTCCAAATCTACTGAAATTAGAGTATCGTGGAGAATTGGTGAATTTTTCATCAGTAATATCATCACCTCTACTCGAGGTTTCAATTCATCTTGAACGTAATAATCATAGTTCATCAACAGATTGGTACCCGAAACTGAAAGATTTGTGCGAAAAATTACAGTATTCGAAAGCGTTGTTGCTGGCCTGTCACGAAGATTTGGACTTGATCGTACCCAAAAAAATGCGAAAGAGGCTCCTTCCTCAACTGCATGCCCTCAGGCATTTGAAGGTCAAAATCACAATTTCATTAGAGAGAAATGGCTGGAAGCTGGAAGAAGGACTGCGCTGGATTTTTCCTTGTCTCAGAACCCTTGACATAGTTAGCTGTTTCAATTGTTTTGAAAATCACTACGAGTATAAAGAGGATATGCTTCAACTTCTTGGTGGAACTGCTGGGCTTTCATTAGAGGAGCATACAGTTCCTTGAAATTAATTAGATGACTTTTTTGTTCATTGAAAAATATATATGATGACTTTGATCCTAAATTACAAGTACTTTCCTTTTTCCGTGTTCTGTGTTCTGTCATACCTTGTTCCCTGTGTTCTGTGAAATATTGAGGTTGCAAAATTCACATGTAATAGGTATACTTTTATATGGACTGTCTCAAGATTCCCTGGAGTACAAAGTCAATACTAAAACCCCACGAAGATAAGTGCCTCCAAACCAACGAGTAATTGACGAACTCCAAAGCCTCTAATTTCGCACAAGTCCAGTCGATTATGCCTTCTTCCAGTTGCTGCCCTTACTCGCTCCAACTAAGAAAACAAACATGGGAAAACTTGTACATACTCTGGTATGTAAAGATTGGATTAAATCGGTGCCTAATGTGGAAAAGAATGGCCCTGAATCCAGGATAGGCTGGATTCAATGAGTAAATGTGGGAAGAATACAAGTTGCTGGACATGCTGGATAGGAATGGCACAGAAATTTAAGTCTGTTTGCACAGTCCATGTCCGTCATGCGGCTATGTTCAAGTCCAAGAGCCTTGGAAAGTAGACAAAATAGTCGAAACCCCAAGGTCAATACATGTTTCGAATATTCAATCTGTACTTCTCTGCAAAATCATATATGGTGAGGTTAGCACATTGAATGGTAGACCATCGAATACGAAGTACTATTTTAGTTGTAACGTGACTTCGAGAAACATAACATTCAATTGAATGAATTGGAGGTGCCTTTTCAGTTGAAGGCAGTCATAGTATACACTTATTCCCTCAATAGAGGATTGATCTAACTTCCTGTATATAACGAGGATTATTTAGTGGTCCTTTTTTGCCTGACAGACACTTGGCGGCATGTGATCACAATAACCTTTTTTCTTATTCGTAATGAATATATACAGCAGTAAGTAGAAGTACTGAGAATAATCTATAAGTGAACTTGTGTGAAGTTGTGATTTTGTCAAAGGACTTGTTGACGCTGGAAAATGTATCCCTCTAAGTCCTTTGACGTCAGTTTTAACGTCGACAAAAGCTTTTAATTCTCGGGCACGATCATATCCAGTGACTTCCATTTCCATTTCTTGAATCTGAAGTAGTTGAGTTTATCAAACAGGTATACACTGTCTATATATTGAGATATATATAGTTTTAGCAAGTTTAATGTATTCAAATGAGGCTTCAAGATGATGAAATGCATGTAGCAAGGGATAATCAGCTCTATTAATTAATTATAGAAATAGGTAGTCAAGATTCAAGTGTATTATAGAATATCTCTTTTGCAGCAGCCCTCCATTACTTTTGCAAGACTCCATAAGAGCGAAATTGTGGAAGAAAGAAGCCAAGTGCAAATTGAAGGATAAGGCCGCTCATGTAGGCTGATTGTGAGCTTCACCTGCAGCATCTGTCATCATAACATAATTCCTTTCCCTTTTTTCGGCTTGGCAACTATGATACATTGACACACTTACTATGATGATGTGTCCGTGTCTATATCTGACACATTGTTTCATGTAGAATACCGACATTCCATGACATGGATTCAAAAAGCCACATACCATATTCTAAGGACATTTTAGGTACGTTCCTCGAATAGCATTCATGACATGTTCTAATATAAAATTAAAGATATAATATTTTTAAATTTTGAAGAATATAAATCAAAGTATCACGTGTCACCTTCGTGTCAATGGCAATGCAACATAGCTTGGCGCATCTTTGATTTACACCATAATTTTCGCCTGACATGCCAGAGACAAAGACCCTGTTGTGCCGGGACCATACAATGATGTTTAGAGGCCAGCGGACAAACAGCACAGCCAAGCCAGGCCTTAAGCATGCCAAGTTCCCTAGACCAGAGCAGCGCGACACTTTCCAAATTGCATGTGATCTATGTATAGATCACACTTTTATCCTCGATCTTTTTCTGACAGTCCAAAATCAGCTGCATGCCCATAAATCATTATATACGGTCATGAAAGGTGGTGGTTGGTAGTTGAGAGCGGTTACAGGGTAGCGTCGAATAGGTGTGGAGAATAAATGCCACGTTCTTCCTTCTTCTTCACCAAAAATCCGGTCCCTAGGCTACATTGACTGTTGCCAATGTGCAATGGCTAAATGTCACTTGCCAACTGACGTTATTCAAAATTTCAAATGTTAGATCAAAGCACATTACACATCTCAGCAACTGCTAGTGTGTGGTGCTTCACAAGATCATGCACGGACATTGTACTCCATTGCGCATAAGCATAACAGCCTAATGTCCAAACAAAAGCAGTAAACCCTTACCATCTCAATCTATGATTAATTTTCGAATAATAACTGATTTTTTTCAAAATATCCAAAAGGAAGCACACCTTAGTGAAGAGTTACCAAGAAGAAGATAGCTAAAAATGAAGTAACAGTCTTGATGTGATGCAAAATGGTACAAGACAACAAAAACTCAGGTTTAACAACAAAACTGAACTAGTTTCTGGCTGAATTTGACAAATAGTAGAGAAAACTCTTTCTGTTCAGCATCGTAGTTGTAGAAGTCATACAAGATGGGTGCTGCAATTAACTGGTGCAGGAGCTGTGCAGGAGGCAAGAGAGAAGAACTTCGTTACAAAGGTCCATTTAACAAAACAGTGAAGAAAGAAAACTGGGACTAACGGCATGTTAGACTAAACTTTTAAAGAGGAAGATGTTGCAATGAAATGTCAAAAGAACCTTTGACGTGAATTGAAAAGGAGATACTTTTAACTGAACAAAACAAACCCTAAACATACCAGGATGACAGCTCCAAGCGAGCTTCCAAAGATGAACAACAGGCTTCCAAACCCCTTCATTATGATGGCACCCAAAATCAAGTGTTTCATCTGAGATCAAGAAATATTCAAGTTACTGAAATTGTATCTTCCAGGACATGATCCAGCAACTAAATTGACTTCCTACGTAAAATTAAGCAAAACTAAGAAAATGATTACTTACTTCAACATATGGCAGCTCTAATCCAGTGTGGGTTTTGACATGCTTTGAGAAAACATTGAACTTTGGCCTTAAAGACTTTGCCGCTGGCCCACCATCAATACCAAATTCATTGAACCTGGCAATGGAAACATACAGATTAAAATGGAAGTACACAAAATGTGCTCAGCATTCCACATGGATGTTATGTCCGAACATAGATCCAGGGGTCCAGATGCAAAAACCTTCTTCGCGTGTCATTTACAAATAAAATAAGAAATCGCCACAAAAGGTAATTCAACTTAAACAAACTCACGAATAGAACAAAATTGAATGCCCTTGCACAAATTTGCATTAATGCATATATGAAATTAAAATGTGAAAATTTGGTATGATCCAGCAACCTTAAAACATAAGACCAGGAAATAGTGAATATTTACATTATCTCATCCAAATTATTACTTATTAAGACTTCAAGTAATTTTCCATAGTTAATAAATTAATCAACAGTTTACTAGTGCCTAACCAAAAGAAGAATAGATTATTAATAGATTAAGAGCAAGCAATTTAACCCACCAAATGACCTAACCTCCCCACCCCTAAAACAACTCACAGTGCAAGATAATAACAAAGGTCCAAACTGAATATTATCAAGAAGTAATCCAGAAAGGTAAGGAAAAATAACTGCCTAATCTGTTTATTATACTGAACACAAGATTAACAAAATTACAAGTCCCTAAAGATATCAAATAGGAGGCACAGATAATAAATCTGCAGTTAAAATGTAATTTATATAGCTAGTGGAGTCGCATAACTCTTGATAGTTTAGCTGGACTTGAGTAACTCCAAAAATGAATCGAAGGAACATCCTTTTTTTATAAACTAAAAGACATTAAAGAATACAATCCTATGTGAACCATATTACAAAAACTTACAACTTTAAGCACAAAATAAAAATATAGATAACTTTTAAGGAAAATTGCACCACCACAGTTCCTAACCTATACTTAAATGAACATTTGGATCCCATTTAATATTCTGTGGTATTTGGATCTCCAACCTTGAATTTTTGTAACACGTGGGGCTCCAAAGATGATACCTTCCAGATACATGAAGGTTGAATGTAGCCAAAGTGCTCATTTAACTATACTGGAGATTGTCAGTGCAATCTTCTCTAATTTATACCCAGTCTCCTTAACCTATTCATCTAGTTTTATGGTCCGGTAATCATAGTGCATGGTTGAAATATATTCAATTTATTCAGAAGAGGATAAGTCCATATAAAAGTTTAAGTAGAAGAACAACATTGCTTCAATCAAGATCCAAAATAACACAAATCCTATTATGAGTGTTTTTGGTATGGATTTTTGGTGGAAGAATTGATTTTTGAATAATGATATGATGGGAAATGTGTGGTTGAAAAAGAAGAAAAAAGTATTGATGTGATGGAAAATATTATTTTATTAAAGAATGTGGGGTTAAAAATGAGAATTGATTTACCGTAGAAAATGAGAATTTTTACCAAACAGGCTCTATAGTCAGAAATATCAGAAATTCTGATTCCTCTTTACCATGGCACCATTACTGAAATACATGTCAACAGAGTTCGTGCTATCACAATTTTACCCAACACTTCGGTATTGTTGATCAATTAGACTACAAAAAGTAGGTAAAAATTTATAATTACCAAACAAGTAAATGAGCAAAGTGGAAAATTCAACTGAAACCAACAGCTCCTAACAAGCAGCCCCTAATCTTATCACACGAGTATTTTTTTTATTGCGTGAAAAGGAACAATTCAGTTTAATCCATGAAAATCGAATCTAATTCAGTCTTTATAGTTGCGTGCTTCAAAAAAATTCCAAAACTTTTCATAGATCCAATTTTAAACAATAGCACAGTTCAAATTTCACGTGTACTTCACAATAATCCTCAATATTACTGCAAGAAGCAGAAGAGCGATTTCGAAGTTCAAGAAAACCAAATCTAGATTGCAGCCTCAAATTAGATTCAATTTTACACAATAGCACACTTCACATCTCCTACTCAAAAAGTCGACAAATTAAAACTCACATTTACTTCACAGCAATCCACATAAACATCAAAAAGAAAAAGATCCAAGAATTTCCATACATTTAACACGAAAATATACACACCGTAAGCATTAAAAAATAAAAAAAACGCAGATCTGAGGGAGAGTGATATTCTTACTCTTGGTAAGCCGAGAGAATGAAGACAGAAACGAAGAGCACTCGACCGAGAAATGATATGAAAGCCATTGTTGTACGGACAAAGCCCCAAATCACTCTCTAGGATTTGGCTCTCTCTCTAAACAGGGTTGGTTTCTCTGTCTAGATTTACGGAATAACAAAAGACAGGAATTCAAATGGGCGAAATAAACTGGAAGCTTTAAAGAGATTATTTTGGGATTTTAACTTCAAGTGAATTTTGACTATCACTGCAGTAAAATTTGAGTACGAAGGAACATTTATGAGACTTTAGTTTTTACTTTTGCTTATTTTATTTGTAAAAGAGTTTGCCAAGGAAATTACATTGTGTTTGAGTTTCATTATTTTGAAAGAATGTATTTTGAAATAGTAGATTGATGGAGAATATGTGGCTGAAATAGAAGGAAAAGTTATTGATTTGATAAAAAAATATTATTTTATTGAATAATGTATGGTTGAAAATAAGTAGAAAAATGAAAATGAGAATTTTAATGACTCAAACAAGGGCTTTTTTTTTCTTTTTTGAAAATTAATTTTTTTATTAAAAAAATTTAATTTCAAAAGCACTTTTTGAGGAATTCACGTTGAATCAGCTTCCCCTAAAAACTCTTTTGAGCAATTGAAGAAAATTAGTCAAACAGTTTGGATCTTAATGTTTCTTTTAATTTTTCAAAAATCATGTCAAACGATCTTTTCGAAGCTGTGCATTCTCCTTGAACGTAAGATCAAAAGAATACATAAAAAGAATAAAATTTTAATATGAAGTGAATTTGACGTTCAGAAATGTATTTTACTCAATTTGGATATAATTTATAAATTCGATCAAAGTTAAATATTAACACCATGTTTGGTATCAATAAAAATTTGATTAAAATTTAAGTTAAAATTAATAATTAATTTTAACTGTATATTTTATAAAATTCACAATTTTTCAATCACACATTCCATCAACTTTTATTAAAATATATTGAAAATTTAATTATTACGCATTATTATCCGCGTGATTTGAAATGATGTTCAGTAATCAAAATTTTACAGCAGCACTCATCAAGACATTTTTTCGATAAAAAATGTGACGCGCTCGAATATGCAATGTGTGGTGTAATCTCTTGTCCGGAACGACACGCGTTAAAACACGTCTAATCAACCAATCTTTGATATGCTTACTTGTCAAACACGAAGGCTGTTTAATCAACGCTGTACATGAGAAAGTACAGAGGATTATGCTGTGAGTACAGAAAGTTTTCACCGAACACATACAGGAATTTAAAAAAATGATGAGCTGGCAAAGAAAAGCAACAAGTCAAAAATAGCTGCAAGTGTAAGTCAGTCATTTGAACAAAAGAAACGGAAAAATTAGCCTCAAACCCGTTTGAATTCCAAGTTTTCCCCAATATTTACGCAACCGTGAAGATCCCTCCCACTCACCGGCACCATCGGCCGACGTCAACAGCCCTGGCAAAGAAATGAAAAGTGATCCAAAACAAAGAACTCATTTGAACTCCAAATTTCCCCCAATATTTACGCAACCGTGAACATCCCTAAGCTCCCACCCCAAGCACTCACCGTCGCCACCGGTCGACCGCACCCACCGGCACCACCGGGTGACGCCATCTGTACTCACCGTCACCACCGGTCGACGCCAACGGCACTCACCGTTTTGCCTGAATTCGAAATCCTGGGAAAAATATTAGGCGCCGCTCGCGGGTGGACATATATGTCTGATTAGAACAGGAAGGTAATTGACAGCAACCTTTCTTGGCTTTTGTCGAGACATCAGTGAATTGCAACTCTACATACATACAAGAAAATTGCACCAAGATGTCTTTACTACATGAGGCATTAAATCACTGGAGGATTAGCTACGAAGAAGAGACTTGTCGCAATTCTGTCCAGATTAATAAATCAGATAATATGATAAATAATTCTCTATTCCAACCAAGTCATTTCCATGTATATCCGGGTGCAGAGTGATTTATATAAAATAAATACGAACACAAGTATTAACAGCACTCAATCTTTTTAAAACAATATTATCAAGGTATGTATCTTATAGGGCACTCTTTAAGATTAAATTAAGCTTGAGATACATTTCAAGGACAAACATAAACCGCTAGGGAAGAAAGAACGAGCATTCGGAAAATCTACCATATCATGCTTTCACAAAGTGCAGAAAAACAATAATTGAAACACTGGGAACTTGAGAATGATCTAAAAAAAGGTAATTTAATCAATTTCTTCCTTCTTAATCAATAAGTTTGTAAAAATTTCTCCAATCCAATATCATTTCTAATGTATTAAGTGCAGTAGGATAAATTTCCAAGTCATAAAATGAGAAACAAAGTGCAGTGGGGTTTATCATGTAGAGAAAGTAAACTCATAAAATGAGAAACAACTGTAAGTTTAACTACCATAAAGTTCCAACTAATAAGCATGGTTTAGGGTACATTAATTTCATTAATGTGCTTTCACAGCAAGCCACAAAATAGCAGCAGTACATGCTTTCATTTGTATAAACTCATCCCTGTGCCAACATCTTTGAAGGATGTTCTTCAGCAATCAGCACAGATTTCGGTTACTACAGCAAAAACCACCCGAAAGCATGCCTATCGGGCGGTCGGAGGTTGGCCGGAGATGGAGAAAGGTGAGCGTCGGGCTTCTCCACCACGTTTTTGGGGGAAAATGAGGAGTAGAAGAAACAAGGGGGTTTTTTCAGGTCTTTCCCGACTGTTTTCATTTTACTGTTTACTCTTTTGTTTTTTTTCTTTGGCCACGTCATTTTATTTGAATTCCTGTATGGTTTCTGTACTTTGTTTCCTGTACCTATAGCACTACCCATTAATAAAACGCTCTATTGAAAAGTTGTTAATTCTATAAAATGTGTGATTAAAATTAATTGTTAATTTTGACTTAAGATTTAAGAATTGTTTGAGCCTTTTTTTTTTAATTTTATTTTTTCAAAACTTATTTTTAATCACACATTTTTCATTAAAATAATATTGCACATTTATCTAAAACTTTTTCTTAATTTTTAATCACACATTCTCCAAAAGTCACTTTTCAAACATGCATTTTCTATCAAAATGGGGCTAAAATCAGATTTTAAATTATATCAAACATGGGCTTCTTTCTTTTTTTTTTTCCGAAAGAATATTTTTATTTATCATCACACTAAGCACTCTTTTTATGACCATTATTTTGATGAATGAAGTTTTGAATAGTGATATTTTGGGTTTGCGTGCAAAATATTTATCCTGACAGGAATGTAAAATATATATTTTTCCCTCCTTATTTTATGTGCTCGTATGATTAATCAATACCAAAATGTACTCATTACGTTCATATTTTGATTTGGGTGAAAATTTTATGGGTGTAATTTGGAAGAAATAAACAAATAATGGCAAAAAGGAAAGAAAACGAAGTTTGGGGACTGAAATATAAATACACAAAAGTTATGTGAAACGTCACGGTGAAGATTTGAGTGTGTTATGAGTCAATTGGATCAAAGAAGATATCAAATGGATGAAATATCGTCAAAGTATGATCACACATTAATTTCCAATCGAAAAAGTTATGCATCGATTTTTAGCCTCATATTGAGACCCATTTTTGACAAGGCAGACAATCGAATTGGAAGATGATATTTGAAACAAAGTTGTAGCCCTTTGCGTTAGCTTTCCAACGCATTTTGAATCGCCTCAATCGGATATTGGGAGAGAAAGATATGATCAAAATACTTAAAGTTTTCCGATGAAAATTATTTAAAGTCATGCGGCTGCATAGATTAAATTCCATGCGATCGCAAATGGTATTTCAGCGAATTTCAGAGTCCATTTTCAATGTTCTATGCGGCCGCATAGTTCATTCCCACATGAAAATTCTAGTTTCCGAATTTAAGTCAACTATCTATGA